TAATACATCACAACACAACGTTTCAAACATCCACTGTGTTCATAATCATGTACCTATGAAAGAGTGAAAAAGAATATATACTTAAGCAGTTACTCTAAATAAACACAATTATAGTTGTAAAAAAAAGGTAAAATATATATATACAGGACATTCACACAAGTTAATGAAATTTACATATATCTAAATGTATGTAGAATTAAAAAGAAACACTTTCACACTAATAAAATTTGTTTTACAAAATTCTGAGAGGGTAACATGAGCCATCTTTGTTTAATTTAGGATTAGATTTTGAAATAAATAATGACTCTGCTATCCTGATTTCATTTTCGCTTTTTCCTCTGTATATAATTTTGAAATCATTTATACTGAAATTGCACTTACAGATATTAGAACAGTGTTCTCGAATGCTTGAGTTTACTGGAGCTGACAATGGTTTTCCAGTACGACAAGATGACCCGTGGTGTTCGTGGTATCTAACCAATACACATTTCTTAGTTGAGCCAACATATGCTAGTTGGCATTTGGGGCAGTTAAATTGATAAACTACCATCGAACAAAACGAGTCAGGTAACTTGTCCTTATGGATTACATAATTTTTAAGTTTATGGTTGTTATAAAATAAAATGAATGGTTTAATATGAGGGTAGTATCTGTAAAATATTGTAGTTAGTTGCTTTTTTAGGTAATGGTTTAAATTATCATTAAAGTATGGCAATTTTATATACATCTGCATCTTTTTAGGACCCTCTTTAACAAGTTTGGGGCAGAAAATCTTATTAAGAAAATTTCTAAGATGTTTATAAAATATGTTGGGTGGATATCCATTTGCAACAAAGAAATCAAGTAGGAAATCTATTTCATTGTGAAAATTAATATAAGTGGAAGATAATCTATATGCTCTATATAACAATGTACAAAATGAATTATGTTTAAAATTTTCGTAGCAACAGCTTATGAAATTTACGCCAAGTCCAGAAAAAGATGGTTTTCTGTAAATGCTTATATCTAATTTGTTATTTTGTCTCATAATTAGCATATCTAGAAACGAGATTTTATTATCATTCTCAACCTCCATTGTAAACTATTTTATTATGTTTGTCGTTCATATAGTTAAAAAACTTTTGGGCATGTTCTTGTTTTCTAAAGATCACAAACGTATCATCAACGTATCTTTTATAAAAAGTAGGTTTGAACTCTTCAGGACAATCATTTAACCAGGATGTTTCATGAAAACATAAAAATATGTTGGATAATGTAGCAGATAATGGACATCCCATTGCCAATCCGTTAGTTTGTTTGTAGTAATTGTCGTTGAACAAGAAATATGAGTCTCCCACGGCTAAATTCAGCATTTTCTTGAACAACGAACGGTCCATGCCCCGAAAACTATTGTCGTTCTCATACATCAGATTGGTAGCGACGTCTACAGCTTCACTAACAGGTACATTAGTGTAGAGAGACGTGATGTCAAGGCTAACAATGAATGCATTGTCATCTAATCTTAAGTCTTTTACGTCATTGAAAAATTCAAATGAATTCGACAATGAGTAATTGTTCACAGTGAGATGTTCTAGATGAGGTACGAGAAATTTTGATAAATTATAATTAAAAGTCTTGAATGATGAGAGTACAGGACGGAGGGGAATATTCACTTTGTGCAGTTTTGGTAATCCATACATAATTCCTGGATTGGAGCCTGATGCATATATTGATCTGTACTCCTCATCTGATATGCATGTCTTTTGATATATTTGTTTTAAAAACCTGTTAAGTTTATCCTCCAGTAACAAATTATTTTTCATTATATTTACATTAGTGATTCTCTCAAATGTTGCAGTATCACTCAAAATGTCACCCATTTTATTCAAATAGTCCTCCTTGTTTAAAATATCCACCCAACATATTTTATAAACATCTTAGAAATTTTCTTAATAAGATTTTCTGCCCCAAACTTGTTAAAGAGGGTCCTAAAAAGATGCAGATGTATATAAAATTGCCATACTTTAATGATAATTTAAACCATTACCTAAAAAAGCAACTAACTACAATATTTTACAGATACTACCCTCATATTAAACCATTCATTTTATTTTATAACAACCATAAACTTAAAAATTATGTAATCCATAAGGACAAGTTACCTGACTCGTTTTGTTCGATGGTAGTTTATCAATTTAACTGCCCCAAATGCCAACTAGCATATGTTGGCTCAACTAAGAAATGTGTATTGGTTAGATACCACGAACACCACGGGTCATCTTGTCGTACTGGAAAACCATTGTCAGCTCCAGTAAACTCAAGCATTCGAGAACACTGTTCTAATATCTGTAAGTGCAATTTCAGTATAAATGATTTCAAAATTATATACAGAGGAAAAAGCGAAAATGAAATCAGGATAGCAGAGTCATTATTTATTTCAAAATCTAATCCTAAATTAAACAAAGATGGCTCATGTTACCCTCTCAGAATTTTGTAAAACAAATTTTATTAGTGTGAAAGTGTTTCTTTTTAATTCTACATACATTTAGATATATGTAAATTTCATTAACTTGTGTGAATGTCCTGTATATATATATTTTACCTTTTTTTTACAACTATAATTGTGTTTATTTAGAGTAACTGCTTAAGTATATATTCTTTTTCACTCTTTCATAGGTACATGATTATGAACACAGTGGATGTTTGAAACGTTGTGTTGTGATGTATTATAAGGAGATTAATTAAATATGTTCTACGATGTTTGCTTGGACCGTTCTTGCCCTTCAGTTTATTATAAGACTAAGATTTCCCAGAGACAAACGGATATCAGATATAATAATAATAATAATAATAATAATAATAATAATAATAATAATAATAATATTAATAATGACAATAATAATAGTAATAATAATAATAATAATAATAATAATAATAATAATAATAATAATAATAATAATAATAATAATAATAATAATAATAATAATAATAATAATAATATTAATAATAATAATAATAATAATAATAATAATAATAATAATAATAATAATAATAATAATAATAATAATAACAATAATAATAATAATAATAATAATAATAATAATAATTATAATGAAAATATAAGGAATAATAATTATTAATTATAATAACAATAGTAATAAGTAATAAGCTTAAAAAAGTTAAGGATCTAAAAGTTTCTTTTAATTCCTTTCCATAGCCATTTACATATTCAGAATATCCGGAGTAAAAATGATTTATGTTTTCATAGATGATTATGTGCTTACTTGATTAATGTTGGTTTCGAATGAGATTGTGAGTTGAATTAAATGCGAAAACGAAACCACAAGTGAGGTTGGGGAATATGTATTTTGAACATATTGGCATTCAGATATAATGTGTTCATTCCTAGTATAACAGATATAAGCTTTAAGGTTTATTACCCTCTATACTTTTGTTGTGTATTTGGTAGCACCTTGTTTTAGTCATTATAAGACCCAGGTTCAAGTCCCAGTCAGGATAAAAATGATTCATGTTTTCTTATATGGTAATGTGCTTATTTGGTTATTGTTTGTCCCGAATGAGATTGGGAGTTGAATTACATGCGAAAACGAAATCGCGAATGAGTTTGGAGAAGCTGTCATATGAGCATAGTGGCATTCAGATAAAATGAGTTCATTCCTATTGTAGCAGATATGCACTGAAAGTTTTATTTTAATTTAACCTTATCTGGTGTAGTTGGTGGCGGCTTGGCTTAGTAATTATAAGATTCAGGTTCATGTCCTGGTCGGGGTAAATATGATTCATGTTTTCACATAGGGTAATGTGCTTATTTGGTTATTCTTTTTTCTAAATGAGATAGGGAGTTGAATTAAATGCGAAAACGAAACCACGAATGAGGTGGGGGAAGTTGTATTAAGAACATAATGGCAATCAGATAGAATACGTTCATTCCTAGTATAGCAAAATAAGCTGTAAGGTATGTTTCCCTGTAATATTTTGTGGTGTAGTTTATAGCGCCTTGGTTTTATAATCATACGTCCCAGGTTCAATTGTTGGTCCCAAATGAAATTAGGAGTTAAATGTGAAAAACCAAACCACGGGTGAAGTTGGGGAAGCTATAATATGAATTTTGTGGCATTCAGATAGAATGCGTTCATTAATAGCATAGCAGATAAAAGCTGAAAGGTTTGTTTCCCTTTAACCTTCTGTGGTGTACATGGTAGCACCTTGGTTTAGTAATTATAAGTATCAGGTTCAAGTCCCCGTTGTGGTAAAGACTATTCTTATTTTCCCTTATAGTAATAGGCCTATTTTGTTATTGTTGATCCCAAATGAGACAGGGATTCAAAATAAATTTGAAAACGAAACCATGAGTGAGGTTAGGGAAACTGCAATATGAACATAGTGGCATTCAGATAGAATGCATTCATTCCTAGTATTGCAGATATAAGCTGTAAGGATTTGTTTCCCTTTTACTTTCTGTGGTGAAGTTGATATAGACTTGGGTTAGTAATTATAAGTCCCAGGTTCAAGTCCCAGTCAGGGTAAAATAGATTCATGTTTTCACGTATAGTAATATGCTTATTTAGTTATTGTTGGTCTCACATGAGATTTTAAATTTAATTGAATGCAAAAACGTAACCACAAGTGAGGTTGGGGAAACTATAATATAAACATAGTAGCATCAAGATAGAATGCGTTCATTCCTAGTATAGCAGATATAAGCTGAAAAGATTTGTTTCCCTTTAACCTTCTGTGCTGTAGTTGGTAGCGACTAGGCTGAGAAATTATAAGTTCCAGGTTCAGTCGCGGTCGGGTTAAACCTGATTCAAGTTTTCACATATGGTAATATGGTTATTTGGTTGTTGCTCATACCGACTGATATTGGAAGTTGAAATAAATGCGAAAACAAAACCATGAGTGAGGTTGGGGAAACTGTAATATGAACAAAGTGGCATGCAGACAGAATGCGTTCAATCCTAGTATAGCAGATATAAGTTGTAAGGTTTGTTTCCTTTTAAGCTTCTGTGGTGTAGTTGGTAGTGTCTAGGCTTAGTAAATATAAGTTGCAGGTTCAAGTCCTGGTAGAGACAAAAATGATTCATGTATTCACATATGGTTATGTGTTTATTTGGTTATTATTGGTCCCGAATAGGATTGGGAGTCGAAGTAAAAGCGAAGACGAAACCAGGAGTGAGAATAGAGAAACTGTAAAATGAACATAGTGGCATTCAGATAGAATGCATTCATTCCTAGTATAGCAGATTTAAGCTGTAAGATTTGTTTCCCTTTAGCCATTCTCTGGTGTAGTTGGTAGCTCCTTAGCCTTGTTATTATAAATCCCAGGTTCAAGTCCCAGTCGGGGTGAAAATGATTCATGTTTTCACATATGGTAATGTGCTTATATGATTATTTTTGGTCCCAAATGAGATTGGGAGTTGATATAAATGCGAAAACGAAACCATGCCTGAGAATGGGGAAACTGATATATGAAAATAGTGGCATTCAGATAGAATGTGTTCATTCCTAGTATAGCAGATATAAGCTGTAAGGTTTGTTTCCCTATGCCTTCTGTGGCGTAGTTGGTAGTGACTTGCCCTTGTTATTATAAGTCCCAGTCAGGGTAAAAACGATTCATGTTTTCACATATGGTAATGTGCTTATTTGGTTATTGTTTGTCCCGATTGACATTGCGAGTGGACTTAAATGAGAAAACAAAACCACGAGTGAGGTTGGGGAAAACTGCAATATGAACATAGTGGCATTCAGATAGAATGCGTTCATTCCTAGTATAGAAGATATAAGCTGTAATGTTTGTTTTCCTGTAGCCTTCTGTGGTGTAGTTGGCAGCGCCTTGGCTTAGTAATTATAAGTCCAGCTTCAAGTCCCGATCGGGGAAACACGATTCATGTTTTCACGTATGGTAATGTGCTTATTTGGTTATTGCTTGTCCCGAATGAGATTGGGAGATGAATTGAATGCGGAAACAAAGCCATGAGTGAGGTTGGGGAAACTGTAATATGAAGATAGTGGCATTCAGATAGAATTCGTTCATTCCTAGTACAGCATATATAAGCTGTAAGTTTTGTTTCACTTTAACCTTCAGTGGTGTAGTTGGTAGCGCCATGGCTTAATAATTATAAGATATAGGTTCAAGTCCTGGCTGGGGTAAAAATAATTCATGCTTTCCCATATAGCAATGTGCTTATTTGGTTATTGTTGGTCCCAAATGAGATTGGGAGTAGAATGAAATGTGAAAACGAAACCACGAGTGAGGTTGGGGAATCAGTAATATGAACATAGTGGCATTCAGATGGAATGCATTCATTCCTAATACAGCAGATATATGGTGAAAGGATTTGTTTCCTTTTAATCTTCTATGGTGCTGTTGATAGCAACTTGGCTTAGCAATTATAAGTCCCAGGTTCAAGTCCCAGTCAGGATATAAGATTATTCATATCTCCACATTGGGTAATGTGCTTATTTGGATATTGTTGGTCTCGAATGAGATTGGGAGTTGAATTCAATGCAAAAACGAAACCACGAGTGATGTTGGGGAAACTGTATTATAAGCAGAGTGGCATTCAGATAGAAAGCGATCATTCCTAGTATAGCATATATAAGCTCTAAGGTTTGTTTCCCTACAACCCTCTGTGGTGTAGTTGGTAGTGCCATGGCTTAGTAATTATAAGTCCCAGGATCAAGTTACAGTCGGGGTAAAAATGATTTATGTTTAAATATATGGTAATGTGATTATATGGTTACTGTTGGTCCCAAATGATATTGGGAGTTGAATTAAATGAGAAAAACAAATTCACGGGTGAGGTTGGGGAAATTGAAATATGAACATAGTGGCATTCAGATGGAATGCTTTCATTCCTAGTAAAGAAGATATAATCTGTAAGACTTGTTTCCCTTTAACAAAAACGAAACATGTTTTCACATATGATAATGTGCTAATTTGGTTATTGTTGGTCCCGAATGAGATTGGGAGATGAACTAATTGTGAAAACGAAGCCATGAGTGAGGTTGGGGAAACTGTAATATGAACATAGTGACATTTAGATAGAATGCTTTCATTCCTAGTATAGCAGATATAAGCTGCAAAGTTTGTTTCACTTTAACCTTCTGTGGTGAAGTTGGTAGCGCCCTGGATTAATAATTATAAAATATTGTTTTAAGTCCCTGTTGGGGTAAAATTAATTCAGGCTTTCACATTTGGTGGTGTGCTTATTTGGTTATTGTTGGTCCCGAATAAGATTGGGAGTTGAATTAAATTCGAAAAAAACCCCATGAGTGAGGTTAGGGAAACTGTATTATAATCATAGTGGCATTCAGCTAGAATGCGATCATTCCTAGTGAAGCAGATATAAGCTGTAAGGTTTGTTGCACTGTAACCTTCTGTGGTGTAGTTGGCAGCGCCTTGGGTTAGTGATTATAGGTCCCAGGTTCAAGTTTCAGTCGGGGAAATAATGATTCATGTTTTCACATACGGTAAGGTGCATATATAGTTACTGTTGGTCCCGAATGATAATGGGAGTTGAATTAAATGCAAAAACAAAACCACGGGTGAGGTTGAGGAATCTGTAATATGAACAGATGGAATGTATTCATTCTTAGTAAAGAAGATATAATCTGTAAGGTTTGGTTCTCTTCAACCTCTTGTGGTGTATTTGGTAACGCCTAGGCTTAGTAATTATAAGTCCAATTTTCAAGTCCCCGTCGGGGTAAAAACGATTCTTGTTTTTACACTTGATAATGTGCTTATTTGGTTATTGTTGGTCGCGAATGAGATTGGGATGTTGAATTAATGTGAAAACAAAACCACGGGTGAGGTTGTGGAAACTGCAATATGAACATAGTGGCATTTAGATAGAATGCATTCATACCTAGTATAGCAGATATAAGCTGTATGGTTTGTTTAACTTTAACCTTCTTTGGTGTAGTTGATAGTGCCATATCTTACTAATTATAAGGTCCAGGTTTAAGTTCTAGTCAGGGTAAAACTGATTCATGTTTTCATATATGTAATGTGATTATGTGATTATTGTTATTCCTGAATAAGATTGGAAGTTGAATAAAATGGAAAAACGAAACCACGAGTTTTGCTGTGGAAACTGTAATATGCTCATGGTGGCATTCAGATTGAATTCGTTCATTCCTAGTATAGCAGATATAAGCTGTAAAGTTTCTTTCCCTATAATCATCCGTGGTATAGTTGGTAGCGCCTTGGCTTAGTAATTATAAGTTCCTTGTTCAAGTCCCACTTGGGGTAAAAATGATTCCTGCTCTCTCATATATTATTGTGCTTATTTGGTTACTGCTGGTTCCGAGTGACATAGGGAGTTGAATTAAGTGTAAAAACTAAACCAGGAGTGAGGTTGGGAAAAACAGTAATATGAACATAGTTGCATTCAGATAGAATGCATTCATTCCTATTATTGCATATATAAGTTGTTAGGTTTGTTTCCCTTTAACCTTCTGTGGTGTAGTTGGTAGAGCCTTGGCTTAGTAATTATAGGTTCCCAGTTTAAGTTCTGATCTGGGTAGAAATGATTCATGCATTCATAGTTTGCCATGTGCTTATTTGGTAATTGCTGGTCCTGATTGAGATTGGAAGTTCAATTAAACGCGAAAACGAAACCACCAGTGAGTCTGGGGAAACTGTTATATGAACATAGAGGTATTCAGATAGAATGCGTTCATCCTATTTAGCAGATATAAGCTGTAAGGATTGTTTCCCTTTAACCTTCTGTGGTGTAGTTGGTAGCACTTTGGCTTAGTAATTATATGTCCCAGATTTAAGTCCAAGTCAGGGTGAAAATGATTCATGTTTTCACATATGGTCATGTGCTTATAAGGTTATTGTTCGTCAAAAATGAGATTTAGAGTTGAAATAAATGCAAAAACAAGAACATGGGTAAGGTAGGGGAAACTGTAATATGAACATAATGGCATCCGGTTAGAATGCATTCATTCCTAATATAACAGATATAAGCTGTAAGGCTTATTTCCCAGTAGCATTTTGTGGTGTAGTTGGTAGTGCCTTGGCTTAGTTATTATAAGTCATAGCTTCAAGTCCCAGTCAGGGTAAAAATGATTGATGTTTTCACATATGGTAATGTGCTCATATGGATATTGTTGGTCCCGGATGAGATTGGGAGTTGAAATAAATAAAAAAATGGAACCACGAGTGAGGATTATGAAATCTTAATATGACATAGTTGTATTCAGTGAGAATGCATTCATTCCTAATATAGCAGATATTAGCTGTAAGGTTTGTTTCCCTTTAGCCTTCTGTGGTGAAGTTGGTAGCTCCTTGGCCTTGTTATTATAAGTCCCAGGTTCAAGATCCGGTCGGCGTGAAAACGATTCATATTTTCACATATAGTAATCTGCTTATATGGTTATATTTGGCCGAGAATGAGATTGGGAGTTGAAATAAATGCAAAAACAAAACCATGGGTGAAGTTGGAGAAATTGTAATATGAACCTAGTGGCATTCAGATAGAATACGTTCATTCCTTTTATAGCAGATATAAGCTTTAAGGTTTGTTTCCCTTTAACCTTCTGTGGTGTAGTTGGTACCACCTTGGCTTAATAATTATAAGACCCAGGTTCAAGTCCCAGTCTGGATAAAAATAATTAATGCTTTCACAAATGGTAATGTGCTTATTTAGTTATTGTTGGTTCCAAAAGAGATTGGGAGTTGAATTAAATGCAAAAACGAAACCACGAGCGAGGTTTAGAAAACGGTAATATGAACATAGTCGCATTCAGATGTAATGCGTTCATTCCAAGTATAGCAGATATAAGGTGGAAGGATTTGTTTCCCTTAAACCTTCTGTGAAGTAGTTGGTAGTGCCTTGGTTTCGTAATTATAATTCCCAGGTTAAAGTCCCATTCAGGATATTATGATTCATATTTTCACATATGGTAATGAGTTTATATGGTTACTGTTGGTCCCGAATGATATTGGGAATTGAATTAAATGTGAAACAAAACCACGGGTGAGCTTTAGGAAATTGTAATATGAACATAGCGGCATTCGAATGAAATGCATTCATTCCTAGGAATGAAGATATAATCAGTA